GAAAATCGGAGATGGGAAGGTGTGAAGTGGAGGGGGACACTCGAGGAATCAGAGACCTCCCCACCACTCTGACGATCAGCACAGTACGCACAATTACGGTTGACGCACGGGGACAGCGCCAAAAATACGAAAAATCCAAAAAAAAATTGAAAAACCGCAAATAGAAATGAATAATACAAGGCAATATTTCGAAGCTTAAGAAAGCCGCTCAAGCTAGCGCCGCAGACCAAAAGAAGAGGCCTGTCTTCAATTTTTTTAGTCATACAGTCATATTTCAAACTCTGTTTTCAAAAGGCCATACTGTCATTATTCAGATTATTCAGATTGTTTTTCAGACCAAGGATTTTTTGCGAAAAGCCCAATCTAAAGGGATGAGGACGGCATCTGTTGAACCCTTCCTGGCAGTCAGGGTTGGTCATTTCAATACCCGTACTCCATACCGTACCCGTATTCTGCAAGCCAGTGGCCGATTATTAGTTCTAAATGCAAATCACGGATAGGAAGTGGTAGTCATTAGAGAATTCGTTATTTTGCATCCAATATTCCGCTTTGCATCGAAAACCGGAAATACCCTAGGGTACATACCCGTGCCCGTACCCGGATATGTACCCGTACCCGCAGAACTTATGCAAAAGTCGGGGTACGGGTACGGGTAGCACCCCGGTAGTACCCGTGCCTACTCGCCGTATGCTAATTTCGAGGGTACGGGTACGGGTACAACTCGGGGTACGGGTAGGATAGTATCCGGGTACCAAAATGACCAACCCTGCTGGCAGTCCAACGACAGCTTTTTCAAGGCCGTTTGTGAAGACACAGCTTGGATAGCCAGTTCAATTGAGTTTTTTTGAGAAAAAGCCTGCCCTTTCGTATGAAAAATGCCGAAAATCGCGAAAAAATTTGCGAGATTTCGGAAATCGGTTGACTTGCTGGAGACTTTCCGAAAACTTATGATAGATACCTAAAGCTGAAAATCGTACACGACTGCGGCCCGCGATTCCCTATCACCTGTTCGAAAATCATCTGTTCGAAAATCACCTGTTCGAAAATCATCCGTTCGAAAAATCATCTGTTCGAAAATCATCGGTTCGAAAAGACATCTGTTCGAAAAGTCATCTGTTCGAAAATCATCGGTTCGAAAATCATCTGTTCGAAACAACACCGTTTTCGAAGCAACAACTTTTCCAAAATTCAAAGTTTTTTTGAAAAGACTTTTCATGACAAAAAAAAACAACAAAAAAAAACAAAAAGACATATTCATGAAGATTCAGGTTAAAATTTTGGCGATGTTGTCGAGGAACTCGGCCATATATTCTTTGCTGTAGTTTTCGCAGAGCTACTGCTGCTCGTCGATGGTCACCCTCGGGCGCATATTTGGCTTGGCGGAGGATTCGATATAGCCGAGCAATTTGAGATTTTCCTCGAACTTCCCCACGAAACATGCAAAACACAGCATTTTAGTAGCAATAGCTTCCCATAGAATTTTTCCCCATTTGGGACCTTTTTCGAATAGGTGATTTTCGAACCGATGATTTTCGAACAGATGACTTTTCGAACAGATGACTTTTCGAACAGATGATTTTCGAACAGGTGATTTTCGAACAGATGATTTTCGAACGGATGATTTTCGAACAGATGGTTTTCGAACAGATGATTTTCGAACAGGTGATCGGCCACCGCGGGTGATGGGGGAGGGGGTATTTTTCGGGACACCCTGAACTAGGAGGCGACGGTACGTGTCGAAATGGCACGCTCTCGGACATAGTGAGCCAGGTGGCACGCGGGTGAGGCATATTTTCAACCGAGACCTGAAAGGTATCCCATGATCCCGCCGCTTGCACCGGCCAAGCCGCTGTAATTGTAAAGCTGGTAGCATTACAACATTGCTCTACAAACATTCATCCCATACAAAAGTTAGTAACACTATTCGGTATCCATCAGAATTTTCGTGTAATCTGATATGCATTAAGCTATTGTCATGGTCTTTCCTGTGTTCCAGCCAGGCCGCTCCCTGCGTTGTTTTTTTTGAAACATTACAAACATTTAGGTTCTGGAAATCCAAAAATTGTTTTTAATGCTCCAAAACATCAGGCGACCTGTTTGTTTGGTTTTCTGGGGTGCACCGCCTATCGGGAGTCTCCTCCGACGCACTAACGAGAGCCTGATAAGCAGGCAGATGCGCATGGAGATGTGATAAATCCTGCAGTTACGAATGTGCTTCCGATTTGCCTGTTTTGGTTTTCCATTTTTTTCAGCCCATTTTTAGCTCACTAACAATATTTGTAAATTTTTCTTTTTGATTTTTTCTTGCATACAGTATATCGAATTTCAGATTTATTCAACTAATTTCAAACAGTTGCGCTATGAAAATTTCTTAGGGGCCAAGATATTGCGATACATGTCTTTTCTGGCATACAGTCTACCGAATTTACTTGTTATTAACAAATTTCAAGCAGTTACGCTCGTGAAAATTGTTTCTAAAGCCCAAAAAAATCAGGTAATCTTTTTATTGAGTTTCCTGGCGTGCATTAGAGAAAATTTGAGCGCTATTTAATAATTTAGAAATAGCTACGTTAGAAAAATTTTTTTTATGGGCCGGCGAGAGCCAAGAAATTCGAATTATGTCTTTCAGTACACCGAATTTCAGCGGTATTGAACAAATTAGAAACAGTTACGCCATGAATTTTTTAGGAGCCAGCGTCAGCTAAGATATTTCTATTTATGTCTTTTTTGGCGTACAGTAACCCGATCTTGACGTTATTTAACAAATAAAAAACAAATCCGCTATGAAACCGTTGATTTCTGTCATTTCTGGCAAACAGTACACCCAATTTCGGCGTCAGTTATTCAATTTCAAGGCAATTCCATATTCCAACTGGTCGACAACCTTTCCGTGTCCAAGCCCCAACCAAGTGTGCCTAATATCATGCCCCCATTCCCCCCATTCCCGTCCCTTCCTAGTGTATACGTGTGCGTGACCTTGCGTGTCCGTGTCACTCCCTCTCTCCCCGCTCTCTCGTAATGCGTCACTGCCTTCCCCCCCCATTCCCCCTTCCACCCCTCACTCTTCCCGCCCGTACGGATCGATGCGTCGCCCTCACGCAACACAGCCCCGACCCACACCACACACATACAGCCCACAGCCACGCCATCACCCCCCGCCACCGCCGCCGCCGCCAAGCAGCCAGTCAGCCCCGCAGCCCCACCGACCAACCACGCAACGATTTTTGACGGGCTTATTTTTAGTCTCCAGCTTTTTAACGCCAATATTTTAAGCGATTGCGGTATGAACGCCATGGAACGATTTTTTAGCGCCCAAAATGGCTGAAATCTACCAAAAATAAGCGATTTTTTTGAAGCTTTTTGCACGAATTTTAACTTTAGGCTTTTTCAAAACGGGATTTTAATCGATCACGGTATGAAAAACATCATCAGAACGAATATTTAGGGCCCAAACTCGCAGATAAAAGCTGATTTTCGAAGCCATTTTGCGGTAATTTTAGCGTTTAAATTCCATATCCTTTGTTTTTGAACCATTCAAACGATTTAGGGTATGAAAAATACCACCTGGACAATTTTAAGTCTAGGTTTTTGGCTCAAAACGTCGCATTTAGCTGAAAACAAACGCTTTTGATACCTTTTAAATCTGAAATAGCGTTGTTTTGAACCATTCAAACGATTACGGTATTAAAAACAGCAACGCGATCTTTTTTCTCACCCAGGGGTCAGCGAAAATCAGATTAGATTTTGAAGCCGTTTCGCTGTAATGTTGTCAGTCACCACCAACCACCCAACGATTTTTGACGGGCTTATTTTTGGCCGTTAACGCGTTAGCTTTTTAAAGCCATTATATTAGACGATTACGCTATGGAACTCCGCCTCGACCCCCTAAAAACAATTATTTAGCGTAAAAAGGTTTTGAAAATTTTACAGTAAAAATTGACGGACGTAAGCGAAAAATTCAGATCTACCATTTTCAAGCTCCAAATTTGAATTTACTTTTGAAATTGCGAGATTTCCGGGCCTATATGGATTACGGGGCGTCCGTAATTTGGAGCGTGAAGAGCATGAAGTCGGATCTCTCATGGCCAATCAAACACACAGCGGCCCGGGGCCTAATAAAACGTCCGGTAGAATCGGAAACCAAAAAAGACAGCAACGCGTGCGATAGACGCGGCGCGCCATTGCGAAAGCAAGCCTGCGCAGCTGAAATCATGCTGCTATTTCGCGCCCCAGGCAAAAACCCGTACAGTACGCCTTTTCCCGGGAGCCATCGGGACCGAACCCATGGGCGGTTGTGAACAGGCCAAAAACGGCAATGTGCCGGGAGGGGCAAAAGCGTTAATTGGAGCCGGACGTAGCGGGCGCCAAAAATTTAAGCTCTTATAACTTTTTCAAACCGACTTAATGTTGAAAAACCAATATCAAGTATTGTAGAGTCGAATTTTACGTTCACGTTTATTTATGTTACAGCAAGTTAGCCGTCCAAAATACCACTTTCCACAAAGTCGCCAACCAAAACCGCCTTCGTTTCGACACTTTTTGAATTCGGTTTTCTTAGTGCTTGGTATCATTGGAATCGCCGTGTTCCATTCTACAAAGTTGGAAATAGCTTTTTTTTAAGGTTCCCTCTATTTTTAAAGTTAAAAGGCTTCGAAAGTTTGGGCCCCATACATTTTCTTGACGAATGGAGCGTCGCGTTGCTTAGGCGCCTATCGCCACAAATCCTGGGCTTGCTCTATTAAAGTGAGGTTTCTGAATTTTCCAGTTTTTTTGGAAAGCCTTTCGATCGGAATTCGTGAAAATCTATTTTTTCTAAGAGGTTATGCTTGAGGCTGTTTTTGCAAAATCTTTCTACGACGTTCTCAATTATGCTTTTTCCCTTCTTCCTCCTGTCTTTCTTTCTCCTTGCTCGTCTGTCTGTTTTTTTACTACTTACTTATTTTCCTTGATTTTTCATGCGATTACGATTACCTTGCTTAATGTTTCGTGGTTGCAGGAAAATGCTGAAAAACGAGTACTCTGGGACCCGGAGGAAGCGCTCCTACATCCCACAATTCAAGGTCCGCCTCGCCGAGCTGATCCAGCAATACCCGGTGCTCTATCAGAAGAGTATCCCCTGGGAGCAAAAGGTATCCAAATTTGATGAAATTACGTTCTATAGGATTACGTCACGCATTTATTTTTAGCTGATTTTCAGCGCAAAACGAATGCGTAATGTAAAACGATCACCCGACGTTATAAACCAGCTTTTCTAGCCTCCAAAAATGCTTTTTCCAGCACGAATCGCCGACGGAATGCTGGACGAAAATCGCGCAGACGATGGCCAGGGAATTCGAGATGCCGGGCAGCACGAAAAGTGAGCGATTTTCCGCTAGTGCTCACCCGAAATTTGCTAAAAAATGGAGTTGCTGGCCAGGAAAAACGCATAGTGCTTCATTCTTTTTTGAAAAAGCCATTTTTTGGACTCATTTTCACGCTCGGAATCAGCTTTGAAAGTTATTGATGGAGTCAGTAATCTGTTTTAGACGATAATAACGATTAACAATCGCTTATTACAAAATTCCTGAGAATCCCTATAATTTTTTACAGCCATCGTCTCCGAGCTGATCTATTTGTGGCGAAATCTGCGCGATCAGCTGCGCCATCACCGAAAGTTGGCCGAGAGAAAGGTCTGGCATTACAGGTTTTTTGATAGCTTATACTTTAATTCAATGAAATAAACAAGCCTTTTCCAGAGCGACCAGACCGGTGAGGACCCCTATGACCACATCCGGCGCTGGGAATTCTTCGAGGCGCTCAGCTTTTTGAATGAGGAGATGGAAAGGTGGGATTTAGCGAGTTTCTGTCAAATTTCTGCGATTTAGGCGGAATCCTTGTAATTTTCTGCGTGTTTTGTCTTTTTTCAAAGCCTCTTTTCTTGACATTTTTTTTCAAAAAGGGAAACCCCGAAATTTCGATTTTTTTTCCAATCTGTTAAAATTCAAATTTAACTGAAAAACAAAATTATTATAGTTGATATCCGGAGAAAATCGGGATCAAATTTATTCTAGTATTATCTGGTTGTAAAGCTTATTTTTTTTCAGGGAAACGACGCCCGGTGCCGCTGGAAAAGTGGCGAAGGTGCCAATTCGGGATATTCTCAATAGGTATATTCAAGTTTTAAAGCTTTATCGATCGATTTAGCATGCCGAACCCGGAATCGGAAGATGAGGGAGGAGACGAACCTGAACATCTCTTCAGTCTCAATGATATTCTGATGGGAAATTACAAGGATTTGGATGAGAGCAAGATATCCCCATCGAATACCAGCAGCTTTGAGATGCCTGGTAAGGAATTAGGGGGAAGAGGGCAGGCTAGCAGAGATTTTTAGGAATTCACATGGTGCAATGCTTTTAAATGTATTTTTTAGAAAGCAGCGATGCGGCTAGCTTGCTGAAGGAATGGGGAGGAGAGGAGAACGAGGTTCGCAATATTCAAACGAATCGATATTATTTTTTTAGTTGAAGCCGCTTTTCGTGAAAAACGACGATCCGCCAACACCCCAACACCAACCGATGGTGCCAAAGAAAAAGGCGCGGATGAGTATGCCGAGTTTTCGAGATGATTCGCCTCTCGCTGCGCCTGCCATTGGTGCGTGTTTCGAGATGTGTCGGAGAGCTAGCAGATACCCTTTGTGGAAATTCTGCGATCACGACTCACTGGGGCGAGCTAGCAGAGACAATTGGCGAAAATTAATCCGGTTCGGCAGGCTACCAGCGATTTTTGCAGAAAATAACTGTTCTAGCATGGATTCTTTGCGGAAGTTGCCTGGCTATACGTTGCGATGGCAAGCTAGCAGAGACCGTTTGCTGAGAGGGTCAGACACGCAGGCTAGCATGAAACCTTCGCGGAAAGATCTATGCTCGAGTTACCAGGCAGCGTAGCAGAGTTCCTTCAGGAAATGAGAGAGAGAGCAGGCGCGTAGGAGGGGGGGGGGGGCAGGGTTGCGGAGTTTCTTTGCGGAAACGGCTTGGTTATGATCAACTAGCAGTGATCATTTGCGGAAATCGCCCATACAAGGCAGACACTAGCATTGATTGGCGCGAAAATTAGCGCTGAAATCCGTACAGGTAGGCTAGCAGATATCTTTTGAGAAAGGGTCAACTGGCAGGGATTCCTTGTGGAAACCTGGCCGGTCGTGAGGGCAAGCTAGCAGAGACTCCTTATTCCATTTCTCCATTTCAGAAAAGCGCGACGACGACCCGGCGATAATCCAGCTGATCCGCGAGAAATACAAGAGCTATCAGGGACAATCGAAGGGGTTGGCCGAAGAATTCGAGAATGAACTGCTGGCCCTGATTGTCACTTTCAATAAGAAATCCTCAGCTTCGAGTTCGTCATAATATCCCATATTACATCGCGTAATCGATTGTCCTTTCATGTCGTAATCGATTCTCATTTAGCGTCGCAATTGACCGCTTTTTTACCGTAATTTTAGAAATTTTGTTGTTGAATATTCAGGATTCTGAACGCGAAAAACCAAAAATTTGCTTGACAATAACCGTTCATATTGATGTCGTGGCCATTGCGCGTTCCATGACCATTGTTCGGTATCTCGAAATTATGTGCTCATTTCCCTGCCAATCCCCTTGCCTTTTCCCCCGTCCGATTACGCGATGTATCTCTCCATTTCTGAAAAATCATCACTTCGCATCATTACCATTGCCTAGAGAATTGCGGGTCGTATAAATGTGTCGCATTGTTTTATTGCTATAAAAGTTACTTAAAAACTTGCTATGGATCCCGGTGCTTTTCCATTATCAGTGGGATTTTTCTGTATAAGCCCGCCGTTGCCTAGGAAAATAATTATAGGCACTTTATTACGGTTTGTAGCACAACCTAGCTATATTCCAAGTGAAAAAACTATCCAAAATCCTTTAAAAAATTTTTAAAATAAGAAATTTTGCCCGAAAATTGGTGATTTTCGGCGAAAAATTGCTATTTTTATTTTAAAATAAAACTTTGTAGAAATCCAGCGCGAGATATTTGATAAAAACAGTTTGGAAACATCATGTATGTGAAAGTGTGAACGTCACGCTCGTCAAGCAACGTACGTGTTGCGTATCACAGCACGGTCAAATCCAAAGGGACGAAAATCGCCATTTTGTCTGACCTGGCCCCTTCTACGCTGCTATAAACTACAGAGAAGCCATTACGTAGACGGGCTTATGCCGTGAGGGTTGGCTTTGTATGGAGGCCGTCTTGGCTAATCCCCTCCCGTCACAAAGCCAGCAAAGATTCGGGGGCAAAGCGCAGACCCCCATCTGCCGGATATATCGACCGACTTCGGCCGCACTTTACTTTACGATATTCTCTCGAGGTACGTTTCTTGAGTTGGAGCGTCTGTGTTTAGCCAAGCCAAACCAAGTTTGAGCGAGAGCTTAGCTTCCAACGAGCCATGTTGGAGCATCCACGAATTAGGACCAAGCCTGTTGTGATCCTCGGAGAGTAGTCGAATGATGTGGAATGCGCACGGACGTACAGTTTACGAACAACTGTTTATCTACATAAATGGTGGCAGGAGGATCGGCAACAGAGCTAGTCTGTGCCGATAAGTGGACCCAAACGAGATAATACAATCTAGTCTTAGGCGGGAAGTGGCGCACGCGACGCGACCGCAAGGGGGCGCGCGCCGGTGGCTTACCCACTGGATAGGAGGGACAGCCGGGGGAAAGAGGATCTATTGTGGTCCAGCAAAGCTGACACCACAACACCTCCCCTTGTACAAAAACAAAGTACGAATTCCTAGGAGAAATTGGGACAGGTGGAACAGGAGATAGGCGGAGTCTAATGTGGTCCAGCGAGCTGGCCCCACAACACCTCCCCTTACACAAAAAACAAGTGTAGATTGGAGGGACCGGGATAGGAATCGAGTGAAAAGCACAATAAAGTTCAAGAAAAATTATCTGCTTATTCCTTCACTCCTTGATGACGCGCCAGCGAGGCGATCACCGACAACGTCCATCCTTCACCTTCATCGCCTTCACATCACGTCCTCCTTCTTGTCGACCTTCTTTTCCTTCTTTCCTTCTTCGGCTTCACTTGTAGACGCGGCCTTGGGCTTGACACGCGCACCTCCTTCGGTCCTTTCGTGGATGAGGACTAACCAACTTCCTCATCTTCTGCTACCTTCGCGGCTTGTGGCGGTCCTTGGGGCAAAACGGCGGCCGGACGCCGGGCACTTCAGGCACTTGCACCCTCCTCCTTCTTCGACAACGGCAGCGTGCCCTCCACCCGGAAATGTGGGGGCAAAAAGGGGAACAAAACACCTCCCTTTCCATTGATCCTGCACGTGCGGCACCGGCACATCATCCATCGATGGGCCCGCCGGCATCAGCACGCTCTGCTTCTTGATCTTCTCGCCATGCCTTCTTTCTTGTCGCTTGCCAACCATGTAGACGTCCTTGACCTCGACCTTGTCGCTCTCCTTGACCTTGTCGCTTTCTTGGTCCTTGTCTCGTCGGCTTGACTTGACTTCTTGCGCTTCTCCACCTTCTTTCTTCATCCTTGACCACGTTCTCGGGCTCGAGTGGCTTGTTGGCTGGGGCATCCCTTGATCTTGCGTGAGTTCTTGATCCTGATCGCCAGTTGTTGTGATCCTCGGATGAGTAGTCGAACGATGTGGAATGCGCACGGACGTACAGTTTACGAACAACTGTTTATCTACATAAATGGTGGCAGGAGGATCGGCAACAGAGCTAGTCTGTGCCGATAAGTGGACCCGCAACGAGATAATACAATCTAGTCTTAGGCGGGAAGTGGCGCACGCGACGCGACCGCAGGGGGGCGCGCCGGTGGCTTACCCACTGGATAGGAGGGACAGCCGGGGGAAAGAGGATCTATTGTGGTCCAGCAAAGCTGACACCACAACAAAGCCTATGTTGTGCAGAATTTTTGGCTGATTAAAACGTACTCTTCAGAATCTACGGGACGAGCAGATTAGAAAAGTTATGGAGCTTCAAAGGGCCTAAAATGTCCAAATTTTATAAGTTTGGCGTTTTTCGCTCTTAAAGGCTGATCGTTACGCAAAGTTCCAAAACTAGCTGTGAATCATGTGAATCGCTGAAAATTCTGCACAAGTTAGGCTTGGTTCCCAGCTCGAACTAGGGATGCTACTCAAAAAAGTCTCTTTGTTAGCCTCTCCGAAGCTAAAGTAAGCCTGCTACCTTGGGTTTTCCTCGTTTTCACCGTTTTCGACCATTAGCTTCAATTCTGCCGAAGTAAACGTCAGCCTAAGTCTAAGCCTAAGCACGGTAAGCCGGAGATCAAGCCATACATGAGCTTGAATTTACGCTAACTGTTCGTGAAGCTACGCTTAGCTAAGCGGGCTTCGCGTAAGCTAGCGGCTTCATTACACGCCGATCCGCTGCCAAGCTCAGCATGGTTGATGCATTACGACATCAAATTGGAAACAAATTTCGGTTTCTCCACACGAGAAAGTGACGCTAAAGCAGCTTGACTCGGAATTTCTGCCTATTTTTAGCGTCTTTCCGGAAATTTTTTTGGTGATTTTAAAACAATTTATAGCTATTTGCGGTTAGAAATCGAAATTTTGAATTTATTGGACATATTTCCAGGGCTTACGCATCAAAATGTAACCGTTAGAAACTGCCTTCAGAATAACGTAATGCCATCGTCGCGCGTACTTTCCCAGAATTGTCAGTCCGACCCCTCACCACCAGCTCGGTTGGCTTCAAACATTCGCAAGCCCAGAACTGACCCCGAGCCCAGGCCGGCTTATCGACTGCGGCTGGGCTCCTCTCATAAGCTTGCCCAAGGTCGAGCGCTGTGGATGGATGGATTGAGGCGAGAGAGACAGAGAGAGACAGAGAGAACGAGAGAAACAGAGAAACGGGGGGCTTAGGCTGGCTGCCCCGGTCTGCTCGGCTCTATATGAATGCTGGGTGGTGGAGGCGAAGCCCTCTTTTCTCGTGTCGAGGGAAGCCTTGTCGCCTTGGTTTCTCTGGTGTCTCTCCTCTCTGCGTACTCTCTCGCCCAAAGCAAGCCCCGATCCCCCGAAGCCTCTTATACTCTCTTCGCCTCCCCCCAGCCACGGCCTTCTTCTTCTTCTTCTTCTCTCTTCACTACCACCACCACTACCAACCAACCACTCAGCCCAGTCAGCACAGCCAGCACAGCTCTCTTCTCTTCTCCTTCACTACCATCGATCGGCTTATAGACCAAGTCTACTTGGTTTGCTCGTATCGATATTTCGCGCTGTATCCGCTTACGCAACAGATTTTTTTCCGATGATTTTGTCTTAGGCTTCCGCTTCATAAGAAGGCTTTACTCCTTATTTTGCGAACACGTCCAAAACTGGGCTTACGGTACCTCGTAATCCAAGATTTTCATTTTTTTTGAAGTTTTGTAATGCAGAAACTAATTTTAACGATAAAATCGCTTGAAAATTGACGAGCTACAGCTCATTTCCTCCACTACCATCGATCGGCTTCTAGACCAAGTCTACTTCGTTTGCTTGTGTTGAAATTTCACTTTTTCTTGCGCTTAGACCACGGACTTCCATAGTTTTATTGCGTTAACCCTTCTATTTCTTTATTCTTCCCGCTAATACGTCGAAAACTGGGCTTACGGTACTTAGGAATTTCAAATTCCTTTTGTTTTGCACCTTTGAAACTCAACAAAATCATTTTCAACAATGAAAATCGCGGTTTCATCACTAAAAATGTATTTTTTCTACTTTTAATAGCTTATTTTGTATCTTTAATTACCTATGAAACCTTTCGCAAATTTAAAACGCGGTTTTTGACGATGAAAACGTCGAAAATCAGCGATTTACGCCTCTTCTCCTCCACTACCATCGATCGGCTTATAGGCCAAGTCTACTTGGTTTGCTCGTATCGATATTTCGCGCTGTATCCGCTTTTGATTCTGTTAGATCTTCTGCTTCATAGGCACCTTCGTACGACTTCTTTGTTCTTGCCTAACAATAAGCGTAAAAACACGGGATTACTGTAACGGAAAATTGACGAAATCGCCTTTTCTTACTCTATTTTTGAAAAACGAAGCACCGGGTCTTGGCTTGCGCGCTAAGCTCCACAAGCTCCAATTAACCTTAGGTTCTACTTCCAATTAACCTAATTAACCTTAATCACAAGCTTACGAATGACTTGCTGAGCTTTAGTGAGGCTTAATATTGGCTCCAACTTGGTTTCCTGAGTTTTTGACCATGGCAGCCCTGCTAGCTGCAACGGTAGACCTTGAGCTGCACTTGTAGCTTTGAACGTAGGACTAAGGTGTCTTCGTTTTAACCGGTGCTAAACCTAGCTTACCAGGCTTGAGCTTGGCTTCAGTGGTTCGAAATGAAGTTTGAAGGTTCTTCGCAAAAGGCCAGTCCACCCCCTCCCCGCGTGGAATTTCCTCTTTTGCCTCAAGTCCTGTCCAAAGTTATTGATTTCTTTTCTTTTTGTCGTCGATAAATGTATTTAAATTGTATCTCTTCAACTTTTTCACGTTTCTGCTTTTCAAACTTATTAAGCCGAGGTTCTTTCAGCATTTCCGCACAAACGAAGCAGCAGCAAATTCACCTCGATGAATCTGCTGTTCAACAATGATGTCGTCGAAATCGACAACCCCAAGGTCAAACGCGTCTACCCCAAGGTCTTTAAGGTAATTTCTGTTTTTTATGACTTTGTAAAGTTATATTTGTGTGATTACTTCGTTTTCTAGTGGCTAGAACTTTAAAATCGTCAAAATCCGGGTTTAAAAAGTTGGTTTTTCGCGTTTTGGAGTTTTATCAGTTTTAAAACTGCCAGAAACGATTCACGAAGCTCTTGGTTTTTTTTGGTGCCTGCAAGTTATCTAAAAGTCTAAAATTTTTCTTTTCAGCTGCGCTTCATCCACGAAATCCACCAGCGCCCGTCACTCTGGGACCCCAACGACAAAATGTACGGCAACAGCCAGGTAAATCGTTTTTTTTGCCTTTTCATCGTCTATAACTTTTCAGCAAAACCGCACGCACTACCTGGAGCTGTGCAACATCATGAACAACGAGTTCAAGGACCTCGACCCGCTCGATTGTGGGTTTTTCGGGATTAAAAAAACTTTCATAGGGTTTCTAGGGCTCCGTTTTGAGCTTACCTTGCGTGAAATTTACCGCTGATTCCCTATTTGGCTCCAGAATTCGTGAAATAGCGATATTTGGAAAGTTACAAAGCAGTTCAGGCCGGAAACTCGGTAGTTACACAATTTTCTCCATTAAAAAGGCTTGTAACTTTTCAAATACGACGATTTAACAAATTTTGATAATGGATTCGGAATCAGCGCAAAATTCTGAACAAGGTCTGCTAAAAAAAGAAAGCATCCCATATTGAAAAACTTTTCGAATTTCAAATTCAATTTTTCAAATTTTCACTGTATAACCGCATTAACTGACGTAAATTCATTTTTAAATCCCATTTTTCAGTCGCGTCGAGCAAGAAGCTGTTCAAGAATATGCGCGACATGTTCAAGACGCGCTTCACCGAGTCCAGGGCGGTCGGTTTTACGAATTTTTGGAGATTTCTCGGCGGATTAGCGGCCCTAAATCCGGCCAGAAAATGGCAGTCTCATGCCGGAAACGCGCCAGCCCATCCGGAAAAACTTTAGAAAAGCGTGTCGGCGTGTAAAAACGTAAAATACGCTAGAAAAATTAGTGATAGTCGGTAATCGGTTGGAGACTATCGTTTCCGTTATTTTTATGCGATTGTCGACAAACTTTAGGTTTCGAAATATCGATTCTAGGTGCAAAACAAGCGCTTTTTTAGCGTTTTGCGAATTTTTCTGATAATTTTAAAGTGGTTTATAGTGATTTAAAGTATGGTTTTAGCGTATTTGGCTAACATATTTTTTTCTGGATTTAATGTTCATGCGAAATACGCGATTTTTAGCGAATTTATCTGAAAATTTTGACATGTTTGGGCGTTTTACGAATTTTTGCTGCCAATTTAAAAGTTTAAGAGGCGAGATTTTAGTTCATTTAGCTATTTACAACGTTTTTATCTAGATTTAACGATTAGAATCACACCCATTTTCAGACAAACGCCCCGCCAAAATGGGAGTACTACCAGGCGCTGTCATTCCTCGCCGACAGCTTCGAGGGCGACATCCCAATGAGTTACGAGATGAAAATGGACCCGCTCGCTCTATTCCACAATGTCTTTGCCAATACGACGAATAATGGAGGCGTCGATTTCGAGAACGGAAGAGGAAGAGGAGCTTCCAATGAATTGATCTCGAACGATGAGCAGGATCTATCGCTCTTTCCGGGAATTATGGTACGTTTTTTTGAGTTTAAGAGATGAAAAAGACTGTGTAGTCGTTTGCTGTACTAGCAAGCTAGCAGAAAACATTTGGGATCCAGAATTTTGCTATTTTCTGGCTGACTGGACGGTTTTTGGACTTGAGAAAGCCATCTAGCAAAGATCATTTGAGAAAAATCACCTGAAAAACGCAGCATGGCATTTTCCAGGGTGACGACAAGCTGAGCGCGCGTCGCCTTCGCCAAGACGAAGAAGAGCGAATGCTTCGATTCCAGACCCTCTTCAATGCTGATGCAAATGATGCGCTGGATGAGGATGGCGGCATTAATGGTAGGGTTTTTCGATTTCTCTATTTCGCGCTTTCACTCTCTTTTTCTCTCTCACTCTCACTTTCTCTCTCTCTCTCTCTCTCTCGCTCTCTCTCTCTCTCTCTCTCTCTCTCTCTCTTTCGCCCGTTTTTTACTTGCTAAAAATCTGTTTTTTAGGCGATCTCGACGAGTCCCCAACGAAGCGCATGCGACTCGAGGATTTCCTGGAAATGACCGAATCCGTAAGAGCCTGTAAAATTTTCTAAAACTTTGTTTTTAGTCGGCCTCGACGTCGACGCCAGCGCGAACGCCGGCAACCAAGGCGAATGGCAGGAAGAGCGGCGTTGAGAGTACGTTTTAGCTTTTTAAAATATTGCTCCTGGATTTTTGAAGTATAATTTGCTTCTAAAAATAAAAATAAAATCAAATTTTCTTCAAAATGCATTTTCTTTCGTTGTTCTACTACGTTTATGATACAACTATTTTGGAAGGTTTTTAGCTTTTTTTGCAAATTTTAAAATCATTTGAAAAATAGGCGACTTAGAAATGACGATTTCGAATAAACTAAAATAAAGAAAAGAATGAAAATTTTGGATTACATTTTGAATATCTTATTTTTTTAGTAATTAAGAATTAATTAAAAAATGTTGACGTTAAGAATTAGCAGAAAAATTCGAAAGCATATTTTAGTTCTATTATCAGCTTTTTAAACTATTTTCGAAAATTAAGAATTAGTTAAAAGATTAAAATTAAGAATTATCAAAAAATTATGATAATTTACGAAGTTACTGTATTTGACCTTTTTTTGCAGGAGTGTCTGCTGCGCAGTCGATAGCCGCAGAGGATGACGAGCAGAAGACGTTGGACATCCTGCAAGCCCTCGCCCAATCCACATCTACCGCATCACCATCCACAGGCCCCTCAAAGACTTCCAACAATCCTCAACCACCCCTCCCGCCCGTCATCTCCTTCGTTCTCGACAAGTTCAACCAATTCTACAAGAAGTGAGCTTTTTATGATATTTTTCCTCAAAGAATCTCTTCTAGCTGACGTGGAAGTTCCTAAATAACCTCTGCTAGCTCGCCTCGAAATTACTAAAAAAACCCTGCTAGCTAGCCTACAAATTCCTAAAAAATCTGCTAGCTAGCTTCGACATTCCTCAAACATATTTGCTAGCTGGCCTCGTAGTTCCTGAATAATCTATGCTAGCCTGCCCGCTTCTCGAAACGTACCTTTTTATGAACATTTTTATCGCGTGGCGGATTAAGGCCCCTGTTTTTCTTGGTTTTCAGCGGTCTTTTCAACAATTTCCCTCAAAAAACTTTGCTAGCTGGCTCCTCCCTGGTTCCTAAAGATTCTCTGCTAGTTCGCCTCAAATTTCCTTAAAAAAGCCATGCCAGCTGGCTTTGGAATTCCTAAATGGCCGCTGCTAGCCTCCCCCTTGCCGTGAAAGGATGATGGACTTGATGCCATAATTGGGCAGAATTCAGCACGTTCTGATAGAAGCCGCCTAGTTTTGAAAAATTTTCCTCAAAAATCTCTGCTAGCCCGCCTTCTGACTGCTAAGTAATATTTGCTAGCCTGCATGATCCTTAAAAATCCAGGAAAATTAAAAAATGGAAAAAACGGGACATACTTTTTCTGGCCTAATTGATTAAAATCTGACTTCCGCATTTATGTAAAACGATTTTTTTGATTTGCCTTAATTAATCTATTCTGATTTTATTGATTGACTAATTTAATTTAATTCATTAGACGATATATTTTTATCGTAAATCAAGAATATTATCATTTTCAGGTCTCCCCAGTTGGCGCACGAATTTGAGAACGAGCTGCTGCGCATCGTGATCACGTTCAACTCGAAGCCGGAGGAGGGCGCCGAATAATTTCGAATTTGAATGTTATTTTTTAGTCTTTAAATGGCTATATTACTGTACATATTTTCCAAAAAATGGCGTAATTTTCGCCCGAATTGACTTGATTTACTTTTTTAAAATGCTGATTTTCCTTTATTTTTGAAATCCCGAGTTTCCTGATATTTTTCCCATGTTTGCGCAAATTTGTTATTATTGTTGGAATGCCAAAGATTCTTTCCGTCTCATTCCTTTGTCCGCGTTTTTTCGCGGTACTGCTCTGTTAGCGGGGGGGGGGGGGGCGGTCGCAACCTCGCAATCAATTATCTTTTTTTCTAATTTTTGTTGTTTTCTTAACCTTTTAAAGGTAAAATGGTTAGTTAAATTACGTTCGTTAAAAATTTTCGAACATTATTGGGGGTAATAATGTTTGAAAAATGACCCAAAAAAAGTTAACACAAAACAAAAAATTTTTTAGAAATATTTTTCATAACATTCGGGCAAGAAAACGACTAAAACGCTATGAAATACACGAAAATTATCCCCCCCCCCCGCTATCAGACCAGCTCCCCCTTTATGCATCAGTTATTTTGCTCCCGCATCTCCTTCAGATTCCAAAAAACCCCACGAATCCGTTCAAACTGGTACTTGAAAATACTGTAATACATACTGATCTATGATGGTTGTTTCGCATAATGGATATTTTAATTATTTTTTTCCGCAATAAATTCACATTTTCCAGCGCATTTTGCCGTTGGCTAGGCTATACTACAAACTACAATACGCAAAAGGTGTTTTTGACAAGTTTCTCATTTCCTAAAATAGAAATTGGGTGGAAATTCGTCATTTATTACGGGACGCCACAGGTCACGTTTTCAGGCAATTTTGAGATCTATAAATTAGGGCAAAATTTAGTTGCAATTTTGATGACATTTTTCTAGAATAATTTTTAATATCAGAAATAAGTTATTTTCGCAAAGCTTCATTGTCCATTTTGGCGGCCGTTTTTCGAGTTTTTGGACTTTTGATAAGAACTAATCCGATTCGAACGGACAGGGGAATTCGTTTTCTGCTCTTCTCTTGCTACTATCAAAAATGGCTGCAAAATTAGCTTATAAATTATTTTCGTTTTTCTTCCTATTGGCATTAGCCGTCGATGGGATCGTCGTGGAATTGCATGGACCGTCGAGGTGAGAGAGAGAGAGAGAGAGATAGGTGAGAGAGAGAGAGAGTGAGAGAAAGAGAGTGAGAGAAAGAGATAGAGAGAGAGTGCGAGGTGGAGAGACTACTAGTTTTATTTCTTGTTTTAGCGCTGAGCGTCGATTGCATTACGACATGTTATTGTCCTCCTCATCAGGATCAGTGCGCGATGAAAAGGGCATTCCAACTATTGGCCCCTACGTCAAGGGGTTGTCCATTGGAACTCGTGAGTTTGAGAGAAAAAGATAAGGCAGGCTAGCAGGGATTCTTTTAGGAATTGGAGGGGATAGAGGGGGCAGACTAGCAGCGACAATTTGGGAATTATTTTTTTCCAAAAAGTCGATTTTTAGCCTACCAACCGATGCAAAAAATCTCGCTGACCACGACGAGCGCCGATCTACTGATATTCAGCAAGAATTTCACACGGCCCGCCTGGGCTTTTAATGAAGAGTACGGGAGTTTTTGGACTTTATAGGTTGTTGTCCGGACCAAAAATTTGTAGTTCGTATTCCAATAGGGCTCTAGACGGTATTTCTATTATGTTTTAATTTTCTGGTTGACTTTTGCGAAGCTGCACCCTGTAGTTGGGCCTTTCTCCACAGTGATTCAAACTCCAGAGCTTGTAGTTTGTAGTTTTGTAATCTAGTAGAGACGCAAAAATGGAATTTTTAAGTTTGTTTGGGCCTTTCAGCGCTGTCGAAGTTTGTAGTTTGCAATCTATGCTATTCCAGAGCATCCGATACTTTCGAATGGATGAACAGCACTTACACCAATTTAACGGCTACTGTGGATGGGTCACAAATGAGAATGAATGGAAGGGTGTGCATGGAATCTTTCCAATTCAACCACGAGGTCGAGCTGTTTCGTGCGTTTTTCGATTTTTGATCTTTTGGAAGGAGAGAGTGGTAGTGAGTGAGAGAGAGCGAAAGAGAGCGAAAGAGAGAGAGAGTGAGTAGAGAGCGAGAGAGTTAGAGAGAATGAGAGAGAGATAGCGAGAGCGAGTGAGAGAAAAGTGAGAAAGAGAGAGAGAAACCATTTTAAACCCGAATTTTTCAGAAGACTACATCCTCTATTTCGCTCTAATCGACAGCGCCTCAAACAATTCGAATGAATACCCCGGAAATGGAATATCGGGAATTATGGGATTGGGATTCCCCGAGCAGGCAGGCTATCGGTGGTTATTAAGGGATTCGATCGATATTTAGGGATCTCCCCATCTTGACGTGGCTGCTGTAGCATTTCTGAATGATGCGGATTACGAAAAAGGAGTCACACTCAACTCTTATACCTGTGATCAGGGAGGGTATGTGGCAGAGACTATTGCGGAAGATGGGTCGAGCTAGCAGTGAAAATTTAGGAATTTGGGCAGTTCTATTGCTTTTTGCCTAGGGCAGAGATAGAAGAGATAATTTTGAAGCGAAAAAATTCTATATTGGAAGCCAGCCAGGATTTTTGCGGAAGGGGCAGGCTAGCAGTCAAACGTTGGGAGTTTCCAGTCGTCCTTCGATTGTTGCTTGTGCCCAGGGAAAGCTAGCAGAGACCCATTTGAAGCGACAAAATTCTACGCTGGAAGCTAGCTAGCAGACATTTTTGCGAAGGGGGCAGGCTAGCAGTGACAATTAAGGAATTTCCCGTCATTTGATTGTCTTTTAGACTGCAAGAAACGGTGGGTATCTTCTCAGTGTCAGCCCATCTTGACTCTGCACATTGTGATCGTCGACAATATATTGAAACTCCGATATACTACGATGAACAGTGGAGTTTGCACATCCCTAGGTATCGGTATTTTTGTCGATGACGATTTTCACACGGTGGCGTAAAAATGGTGGCTAATTTTCTGAAGATTCACTGCCCGCAAGGAAAAAGCCAGCGAAGCGGAGATAGGAATAGAAGTCCTTTGGTATTTTCCAGAGCCTATATTTGTGTCTTTCCAGCTTTACCTACAATGGCTATGACTCGAAAAAGGGCACAATTGCAACCATAAATATTCAACAGGTTAGAACCGCTTTTTCAAGTAAACGAAATACGATAAAAAACGAAAAGTGCTGCGTGGCGGAAAATACGGAAAATTTATCGTGGATCCATTTTTATGACATGGCTGTCTTTAAATCCCATGTTTTTTTCAGCTAGCCCTCGGAATGCCGGACGATTTGTATGCGCAAGTTGCAAAAGTGCTGGGCGTCGATCCGACGGCAAATTTTGTAAGATTTTAGCTTTATTCGGGGTTACGGTGCTTTTCACGGATCATAGAGCTTATTTTAGCCGTACATCGATTGCTATGAGGATTTTCCTCAAATTTCTCTAAAATTGGCGAATGGAACGGTGACTTTGGGCGCAACAGGTGAGAGTTTATCATTTTTGTCCTTACTTTCTGAAGAAAAATATCTTTCTCTTTATTCTGTCAATTTGCACGTCGGCCTGAAGTCGAAACAAAAAACCGTACCCATATCGTCAACAGTATTCCAGCGTACATCGACAAATTCGCGGATTTCCCTCCGACCTGCCGTCTCATCGCCTACCCAATCAAGGCCACCGGATTCCTAAATGCATGGGTGTACGTTGATAATTGTAGTTTGTAGTTTATAGCTTTAATTCGGTGCAATTTAACGAAATTGTAGTCTGTTGCTTTATCCAAATTATAGTCTCAATTTAATGGTTGAAATTAACCGGTTAAATTGAGTTTTACATGGTAAAAAGATGGCAATTTTTTGAAAGTGTAGCATGAAGTCCCTAATTTTTTAGTTTGTAGCCTCTTTTCTGTTTTGTAGCCTATCGGTAGCTAAAATTAACTATTTCTTGGAAATTGGTGGAAGAATTCATGTTTGCAATTTTGAAAAGACGGAAATTTTACGATTTTTTTCCGAAACCGCAGTCGGTAGTTTGTAGTTTGTAGTTTGAAGCCTATTTTCCAGTTTGTAGCCCGTATTGCCCGTTCCAGTTTCGGCTACTCGGTGATGGTGGATCAATGCCTATTCCTTGGATGGGATCGCCGAGTTGTCGGCTTTGCCCCAGCAACCGCCAAATGTTGATTAGCTCAACATTTCCGCTACAATACCATGGACCCCACAAAGTGTGCTGTGAATTTTTTTATTGCGTAGCAGTTGAATAAAAAAAAGCCACACAACAATGTGTTGATTCTAAAAATAGATTTTCACGAAAATGGTTACAGTTTTGCACCCGAAATCGACAAAAAAAGTAGGAGTTTGATTTTTTGAAAATTGTCGCCTGTCAGTGAACGAGAGAGAGAGCGAGCGAGAGAGAGAGAGAGTTAGAGAAAGAGAGAGAGCGACGTACCGGCTACGTCTAGCGTTGTAACCAATAGATGGCTCTATGGCGACAGGCGACAATAAATAGTCATAAAAGGGAAGAGACGCAGAGAAGGCAGAGAAATAGAGAAAAGATCAAGACAGGGAGAGAGGGGGCAGACGATGAGAAGAATCCGGACAGGGATGGGTCCTAAAAAAGTTACTGTAATCGCAAATAAGGGCTAACTAGCATAGATCACTTCGGAAATAGGGCTACCTGTTGATTTGGTACGGGCTGTTGTTGAGGCTCTTCTTCATCTCCTGCTCCTCCCGCTCCGGCTCTTCCTCGTTCTTCCCCATCTTCTTCTGGCGTTGGTTGGACGGCATTTGGTGTCCCTCGGAATGTCGGTACCTAAAAATGGGCAGGCTAGCAGCGATTCTTGGAGAAAAACAACTCCAAAAACCTCCAGAAAGGACCGATTACTACTTGAAATTCGATAAAAAAATCCATCCCGCCGCTTAAAATAGCGGGTTTAAGTTTTTCAAAGCTCCACATAAAATATAGCTAATTCCACGCCCGTCACACTCCCTTTAACCTCAACCCACCCCAGCCATCATTCCACCCCCTCCTCCGTTGGCGAAATTCGGGTGTAAATCGACATGCGCTGGGCTGAGCTTGGACATTGGCTTCCGGTGAGGACCATCATGGCCGGGGAGGGTATTCTGGGGAGGTATGGAAGATGGAGGACGAGAGGTCGGGGCTGCTGTGCAGTTTGCTGAAATTAGAATATCTCGCACTCTCTCTCTCTCTCTCTCTCCCTCTCTCTTTCTTTCTCTATCTCTCTCTCTCCCTGTTTCTCTCTCCCTGTCTCTCTCTTTTTCTTTCTCCCTCACTCTCTCTCTCCCCTTCTCTCTATCTCTTTCTCTATCTCTCTTTCTTTCCCCTCTCTCTCTCTCTCTCTCTCTCTCTCTCTCCCTCTCTCTCTCACCTTCCTGTCCCAATACCAGCGTCGTATTCATATTGTTCTCAAAGCTGAAATCTCGACTGCAGTGTGCCCCCGATGAGGCGATGAATAGGCGATTTGAGTGCTTTTGGGTCACCTAAAAATTGTATTTTAGAGTCTGTAGTCTGTGATCCAACTCACAAAACAAGCATGAATATCCTCCCCGATCCGTCTCGCGTACAAATACATAAATGGACCGTCGAACCAACTGCCCAGGCATTGATACGAACGGGCTGAAAGGTAGGGACTGGATTTTGGCTTGAATAATCCTTTAGTGGTTCACTGCCAGCCAGGTTGCACTTTAAAGGATTTTTCAGACAATTTTAAAAGGCCGCTGAAGTCAGAAAAGGTATCAAAAAATTCAAAAAAGCATTTCTTTAAAGTCCTGAATTTCGGAAATTTCCACAATTTTATTTTGACTCCAAAGTCTTTTACAAAAAAGGACTACTCATAGCCTGTATGACAAAAAAAATCATGTTTTCAAGGCCCATGGAAGCCAAATCCATACCGTCAAAAACCGTTCCACTAGCGCAATGATATGCCTTCAACCGTAGATTGTCCCTCTTTCCACTGCAATCCACCTCCAACGCGTAGCAATCGTCGGTTTGGAGCTCTTTCGGGGTACGGTAAAGACCCTGAAATTATTTTGTCGCAAAAAGCGTCTTTTTTCGAATTTACCTCCAATCCACAAGCCACAGGAGTCGGTCTCTTCACAGAAACGGAAGTCCATGGAACACTCGCGAACAGCTTCTCGTCCCTTTAAAATACGCATTGATGGGAGGGCGAGAATTCCACAAAGTGTTTCTGCTAGATTGCCCCGTAAAATTACACGTTTTTTGGCGGATCTCTGCTAGCCTGCCTTGGGAAATGACAATTTCTGATTCCATTGGTCAAACTTTCGAAAAGCTTCCTCAAGAATCTTTGCTAGCCCGCCCCTCAACTGACTTACTGGCATAGACTATTATTGAGTGTCTCCTGAGCGGCTGTCGTCCGAAATTCCAGTACAGAATCACTTCTCATGCGGAACCATAGACAATGATAACCAAGGGGTTCGCCACTAAAAAAATGGATTTATCACTCTTTCGCTCTCTCTCTCTCTCTCTCTCTCTCTCTCTCTCTCTCTCTCTCTCTCTCTCCTTCCCTCCGGGCCTCCTCTCCTTACGCCTCTCCGGTCCTCTCCCTCTCTTTCTCTCGCTCTCACTAACTATCTCATTCTCTCTCTCTCACTTTCTACCGCTCGTTCGCTCGCTCTCTCTCTATCTCTCGGTCTCGCTCTCTCTCTCTCTCCTTCTCTCTCTCACCATTTCGATTCCGAATACACGAGAATCCGCTCGCCATGCTGAGAATTGACACAATAGGAAACGATGGGAATGGAGTCTGAGGAGCCCTGAAAAATTGGGAAATTCGGGCAGGCTAGCAGAGACCCTTTTGGAATTACAATTTTGCGATGATATTTAGCTGCCTGAAAGGCAAACTAACAGAGTTTTTTGAGCAAAAAGCTTTTCTCAGCGGGCGACGATTTGGTTCTAAAATTTTTCCTTTTGCGGGCATGCTAGCGGAGATTATTGCGGAAATAGGACAAATGGACTCATATTGATCTTTTGTGGTACCTGATGATACTGTAGCTGTTCTGCGGAGACGTCAACAGTAGTGTACTGTCCTCGTAGCCAGGCAGGGAATTCACACGGGGAGAGAGGTTTGGATAGAGAGGCTAAAAAAGTTGTTTTAAAGGGGACTTCAGGCCTGGTACCACCCCTTTAAAACTACCGTACTCGGCTTAAAGCGGAACGTCTCGTAGGCATTATGGCGGTTGAGATGGGCACACGAAGAATCGTTGCTCAGATGGACCGTAATGTGATCGGCAGCCGGGTGGACTAGCTGAAAAAACTCGAGTTTTTTGATACGGTCGCCCGGTTTTTGTAGCGTAACGCTTTAAAGGGGCTGTGACATCTAAAGATTTTCAGTTTCGGACTGAAGATTTCGAAATCGATTGAACGGATTTGGAGCGGAATCTAGCGAAATCCTGCGCATTGGCGCCCATTTTTGCCTTCAATGGATCTTGAAGGGCTCTGGATGCGAATTTCGGGTTACGGTAGCGTGCACTTGGAACGTAACGTACCCCGCATCGAAATTCCTCATTTTCCTCATTCTCAAAAATCAAATACCGCTCCCCGCTGGGTCCATTCCACGTTCCGAGGCATTGCATTGACATGTCTAAAAAACTTCTAATATTTTGGAGTCTGTAGCCTGAAATTTAATACATTTTGGACTCTGTAGTTTGTAGTCTTTTGTATTCTATAGCCTATTTCTGGCACAAAATTCGTTATTTTATTGTGTAGTCCAAAGCACAAATGCCAGATTTTGTAGTCTGTAGCCATAATTTGGCTTGTACTCTGTAGTCTGTAGCTGACTATAATTTTGTGGTCTGTAGCCCGGGAAAGTTGTAGTTTGTAGCTTGGCCGAAAAATATCGATTTCTTACCGAAATCCGGGAAAGTACAACCTCGAAACTTGATGTCCAGACGTGAGGCGACTTGACAGTTTTCAGCCTGGAAATTGGGTTTAATTTGGCTTAAATTTTTCTTTAAAATCGTTGAAAGAAGGTTTTTTAGTCGCTTTTCTAGCCTACCGTAGTGTCAGTGCTGTGCCCTTCACATGTCAAATTCGTGTTCCTCAAGTGGTAAGAGACGGCAAATCGACCCTCCAGCTCGCAACTCACATAGTCACGGTTCGTACTTCCTGGAATATCATGGCGCAATCGATTGATCTGGGTGATTCATAGCGTAATCGATTTCGCCATGGATTTACATAACACAACCCAATTTTCTTTAAATAACGTAATCGAATAAACCCACGTTTTTGGGCGGGCTAGCTTTGTTTTTTTTAGGGAATTGGGCGTTTCGGATGGATTTCATAGCGTAACCGCGTTTTATTTCATGGCGTAATCTATTAAGACCATTTTTAAGGGCAGGCTAGCAGAGATCCTTAGGTCATCCTCCTGATAATTTCATAGCGTAATCGATGAATCGCGCTTTAAAAAGGAGCGTAACAGCAACCAAATTTTTTTGCCGAAACTCACGAAAAATGAAAGTTCCCTCCAATGGTCGTATCGAATGCGAATCAAAACATGTTTTCCTGGCTTCTTCGATGCTTTGATGGCAGTAGTCTCCTAAAAAATATGATTTTTTACAGGTTTTCTGAAGAATAAAAATTCTTTATTTTTTTTAGCAATTTTTCTAGGGTTTGACACGATGCTGCAAACCAGGAAACAACAGAGTTACCGTACCATCCTGATGGGCCAGCTGAATAACATTGCGTGTTCGAATGATCGGCGTGACGCAACGATAACAAAGTGGACGGCCCATACGTCTGGAAATTCGGGGGTTCAAAGGAGCCAGCAGGACATGGCTATGGATTTTGCCGCATCCGCGACGCGCACGGGCACGCTGGCACTTGAATTACGAGCATTTGACGGCAAAAAAGATAGATAGCCCTTGAAAATGCCCCAAAATCTACCGTACTTCTGTCCGAAAATGTAGGAGCCGTGGAGCTTCTCGTAGCATTCCCCAAAATCGGAAATTGACGTCTCTCCGATCGTCAGCTAAAAGAAATATCTTTTGTTTAGAAATTTTACGATTTTAAAGTGCATAGAAGCCACAGTAAATTTATAAAAAATTTTGATCACGTGAAAATGGCAAATTTAATGGTTTCTATACATTGTAAAATTTTAAAAATTCCCGGGATTTCTAAAAATGCGATTTATGCTTTTTCGCCTATTTTTTTAGATTTTAAAGGAGCATTGAAGTCAGAAAAAGCTACAAAAAACGCGTGGAAAAATTTTAATGCTGTGGTTTTCAACGGTTTCACAATTTTAAGGGAAAACTGAAGCCAAAAAATCATCAAAACCCTACCGTTTCATAAAGTAGTGGTCGTGGAAATGTCGCGTCCAACGAGGGGACCATGATGGGTTTTGAAGGTTTTTTGTAGGTACCCAGTAGCGTACCATCCAGTCGGCAGCCATCGCATAGAACTAAAGTTAGCAAATTGTCTCTGCTAGCATGCCCTTTCTATCTTTTGCAATTTTCAAGGACTATTGAAGACAAATTCACAACAATTTTGGTGAATTTGTCTTCGATTAGCGACCGCCAAAAATTCAAATTTGAACTCTTTTCAAATTTCGGTGATTTGCAGCTTTTTAAAGGCCCGTTGAAGCCAAAATAAATCGAAAAATAGGTAAGCTAGCAGAAACACTTGAGGAAAGAGCTTTTTGGGCATTTAAAGGGCCATTCAAGGAAAAAATCGGTTCAGGTTCATTGACGGAGGGGGTGTTTATCTTCCCCCCCCCCCCCGTTAATGCACAAGTTCCCAAAAAGCACTGTGAAGAAAAGGCAGGCTCATAAAAACACTTGAGGAAGTCAACTCCCGAATCTTCAAGCTTATGAGCTTTTAAAGGGCCATTGAAGGCAAGGGCAAGCTAGCAGAGACCATTGAAGAATTCGAATATTGTCGAATTTTCACGATTTCCAGGAGTTTTAAGCCCAGGCAAGCCAGCAGAGACAATTGTGGAACTCAACTTTTACCAAATTCATAAATTTTCTAGCTTTTAAAGGACCATTGAAGGCAAAAACCTTGAAGAAAATCGTCAGGAAAACCTACCTTTAACAACAAAATTAAACAGCAAAAATACGGTAATTTTACGTAGCGACATAGCAAGGACGGGATGATCAAAAATGGGGGTTTTGGGGGTGGGTTTGAATTGGTTGACTGGGCGTCAGTTCACAGCATTGTCGAAGGGTGTTTTGAAGTGTCCGCGATACACCTATCGACACAGCGAGTGGGGGGTACGGTAATACCCGCCGGGGAGATGAGGAGGGTCCTTTGGGGGACACGCGTCCATCTACATGCAAATAATGACTCCTGGGGGTCACTTTAAAAAGGTCGAAATCCATAATGTCGAAATTCGGTTCTTTGGTATTATCGGGGGGGAGATCGAATTTTTTGTATTAGCCTAGGCATGGCTAGTAATTTAATAGGAAACATTTTAATAATATTTTTTTATGAAATAAAGCTAGATTTCACCTAGAAAAACTATCCAAAAATTTTCAAAAGGTTTGAAAAAGCCGAATTCTGGTGAAAAGTCCATTTTGGTCGAAAAATCGATATTTTTGGATTCTCATTAAAAATTTGTGGAACTTTTATGCTTAGAAATAGGAAACAACGGTTTAAAAACGCCTTCGCGATTTACAATTGAAAAATCGAAGCCTAAAAATGCGAAAGAACCCCCAAAAATACATAAAATTTTTGATGATTGCGAAAATCAAGTTTAGCTCAATTTTTCCACCTCATTACTATCGACACCTGGGTGTACTTTGTCTTATGAATCCTTGTTTTAAAACGCAGGGTAATTTCTACGAGTACCGTGCCCCCAAGATACCGTAACCTAGCGGAAAAACCATTTCAGACCCTCTCAAAATCGTGCAAAACTCATTTTTACAGCATTTCCGCGACATTTCTATCGCCACAGAGACGTACTGTCGCTAATTTTTTTCAGACCTAGAGAAAAACTATTTTTAAAGACCCTAAACGTACCAAAAAAATTTAGACACGAGGTAATTTGCATAAAATTAACATATCAATCCATGAAGCTTAAAAATCTACAATTTTTCGCCGTAATCCCGGCATTCCACTTGGCTACTCTCACCCTGGATGGCTGTTCGGCCATTTCTCCTCCACATTCTCGTGCTCTTCATTTTTGTCGAGATTTGGTGGGGGCGTTAAGAGTATTGTCACGGAAGCTTTAAAATTTTCCAGCCATGCCGGCGTCGTGGAGGTTGGCGCGTCGACGACGACACCCCTAATGGTTGCACCGACTAAGGAAGTAAGCCACTTAAAGGGACTGG